AATCAATCAACCAATCAATCAATCAATCAATCAATCAATCAATCAATCAATCAATCAACCAACCAACCAATCAATCAATCAATCAATCAATCAATAAATCAACCAATCAACCAATCAACCAATCAATCAATCAATCAATCAATCAACCAGTCACTCAATCAATCAATCAACCAGTCAATCAATCAATCAATCAATCAATCAATCAATCAATCAATCAATCAATCAATCAATCAATATTACTTTTTTTTTCAATTTTTAAATTTTTTTTTGTCCACACACCAAAAATGACCCCCCCGAAAATTATTTTTTTTAACCTTTTTTGCTTCAAGGGGGTAGGGCGAGGGTTCCGGAACCCCAATCCGAAACCCCGACCCCTAACCCCCTCTCCCCTCGGCCACTGTGGGCCGCGGCATCCCGCAGTCGTCGCGGTCATGACCGCGGCCCTGCGGCCACGGCCGCGGTCCGCGGTCGTGCCTGCGGTGACCGCGGCCGCTGAGGGTTCATAGCGACCACCCCAGGCCTGGTGCTCATAAGGAAAGAGCATAGGACTATCATGCTTTGTGCCCATAAGGAAAGTGCATAGGACTATCATGCTTGGCGACCGAAGTGCCCATAGGACAAGGCTCATCGTATAGTGCTTCAACTAGGGCTGGGAGGGGTTGTCCTGGCCTAGCGCTGGTGCCTGCAATTAAACCACCAGTACTTGACCGAGCTATCGGCCTTGGCGCTTCCCCGTTAACGCGCCGCAGATTTAGGGCTTGGACCTCAATGGCTGGAAGCGCCAGCCAAAAGAAAAATGAAACGGTACCCCGTTGCTTCGGCAGAAATCGGCGGGCCGGGGGATTCCAGGCTCGGCATGGATAGCAGGGCCAAGTACTGTCCGGTATACCCCAGGTAAGGGTCAACAGTGGCCCCCGTATATGGAGAAGCAGGGGTTCCGCTAAGGGAGAAGAACGTTGAGGTAGGAATGGGGTGGGTCCTGTGAGCACTCCAAAAAAAAAAAAGCAATTGGTAAACTACCACCCCAGAAAAGAAAAGGCAAAAACGTAAAGGTCTTCCCAACTCAACACTCGTGTGATGCGCTATGGCGGTGGTATATCCTCTTCTGCTATCTGCTGTGTCGGTTCGCTGACCATAGCGGCCTGCAACGGGCGATGATTTTCAGGAAAGCGTATTATGTAAGGTGGACGTCTGACCACAGAGGGATCAGATGTCGGCCGCGCCGTCGCTTGGCCTTGAGCCAGACTGCCAGGCCTGCCGGGAAGACGCCGGCGCGATTCCCTCCAAGAAATAGTGTGCGCGTGTCCGCGCTCGCATGAGAGAGAGGGCCTCGCTCCACCACTCGCCGAATGCAAGAAAGACAAAAGAAATTGCGAGAAAGACAAAACATGGTGGATGGAAAGAAAGAGAGCGAGCGAGAGAGAGAGAGAGAGAGTAGCCGGCAAGAAGGAAGTGTACAAAAGGGAGTGTGGCGCGCCGCTTAAGGAAGCAGTAAGCACATCGGTATACACTCGATTCGAACTATCTCACTGGTAGGCGATTTCGGTAGAATCGTCGTGTTCCCATTGCTGTGATCTACTACCTATCGGACACGCTGAGCTCTTAGAGGGGAGTGGCGTTGCATCAGATTCTCCCGTCGTCGCCATCGCTATCCCCACCTTCATCATCATGGTTYCACGGRGTTTCTCGCACAGCCATATGGCTGCCGCGATAGCCTGCGCGATGGTTCTTATCGCGAGTAGCGGAGTGCAGGGGCGGAATATGCGTTCGCTCGAGGAGGCCTCGGCGGCGGGYTCCGGRTATTCTCTGGCGGATGTGCATCGTGCTTGCGCCTCGTATGACGGAGTGTGYAATSAAAGCTCGGCGTGTGTCGCTGCCATCACCAAGTACAGAAGCGAGGTGTACGGAGTGSCTGACCACTGCGACTGCGCCAATGCCATCGGATACGATCTGGTCAATGCCTACCCTTCGATCAGCCCCGCTGTCACGTACATCTCCAACTGTATGCCGGACTGTCTCTTCGGAGAATCTTGCCCGTTYATCTCCACGATGATTGCTGTCCTTGGCAATGGCGGCGGGCGGGGAGCGATGGCGGGTGACAACGAGACCGACTTGACAGGTGTCGGCTTGGTGAAGCTGAACATAGAGACCAGTGAGGTGATGTTCAACCTGACGTCGGCAGCTCTGACCGACAGCGTCATCAAGGCGGGACTAGAGATCACGATCAAGAGGGGCACGCCTGATACCGAAGGAGAGGTGGTGCTCACTCTGTCGAGCGCAACTCCAGGAGTCGTGGCCGGATCCGTGAAGGTGCCCGACTTCCAGGCTGCGAAGGACATCGCCTACTCTCCCGAGGATTACTACCTGGACGTTCGCGCGAAGCAAGCCAATGCAGGGCACCTCAGGGGCACGTTGGCAGCCACGGCGGCGTTGATGGCGCAGGTCTCGTCCGCCGCTTGCGGGCCTTCTTCTTCAAGCAACGGCACGACACCCCCCAAGGGCACTACGGGTGTGGTCAGTCTCGTGGTCGACAGCTTCCGGGTGTGCTACAAGCTGGGCGGCATCGCGAACAACACGGAGAAGAGCGCGAGTGTGAACACCGGGGAGATGTGCAGTGCGAACAGTTCGGTGGTCATCCCGCTTTTCGGCGGGCTTGGCTCCGCAGCGCCGCAGATGTCGGGCTGTAGCACCCCGCCCGAGTCCACCATTCTTGCGCTTCTTGCCGATCCGAGCGCATTCTTCGCGAGTCTAAACGTGAGCGGCAACTGTTCCACTTCGCCTGCGGCGAGTCTCAAGGGCGAGTTCAGGTCGAAGGTGACGCTTACCGCAACGTTGAAGAAGGTCGGTTTTGTCGGGGCCGACAGGCAGGAGGACAGGGAGGGAGTCTTTACCAAGGTCGATCTCGTGATCGGAGAGGGCTACGGTTGCTTCTCCTTCTTGCAAGGGAAGGATTTCGGGGATGCGACGGCAGCCTACCTCCGTGCTGGAGCGCGTAACGTGACAGGAGATGTGCTAGCCATGTTCTTCAGGGATGAAACGCCGGCCCCGAAAACCGGCTGCGTCTCTCTTGACAACGACATCATCGCTTCCATGGCCACGGACCCTGCATCCTACTACGTCACAATGAGTACTCTCCAGACCCCGAACGAAGCAGTACGAGGCCAGCTTCAGTACGCGTAAGCCGCTCGAAAGAGTCTCTTCCTGACGGAATCCTGACGAAAGTTCCCTCTGTGTGTGTACCCGACTCGGCGTCTTAGCCCTGCTGGTTCCTTGTGTGTGGTGCGTTGGGTTTCAGGTCGGGTTTGTTGCCCGCAATTCTCTGGGGGAGATGGCGCTTGCGCGCGCGCACACACACACACACACACAGACACACACACACACACACACACACTTACACACACACACACACACACACACACAGAGAGAGAGAGAGAGAGAGAGAGAGAGAGAGAGAGAGAGAGAGAGAGAGAGAGAGAGAGAGAGGTCATCTTGGAAAGTACTCTGTAGGAAGATCGTGATGTGCTATGGATGATGGATTCCGCGGCGCTTGGTTGATTGCGCCCGGCTCTTTTGACTTTAGGAGACCAGCGCGGCGCTTGGTTGATTGCGCCCGGGTCTTTTGACTTTAGGAGACGAGCGATGTGAGGTAGTATCGTACTGCGGTACCACCGTTGAGAGGTGGCAAATAGGTCTCGCAAGCTGACGGCCCGATGAACTGTTCCATTCATGAACGAGCAGTGTGTTGCAATCGCTGACCAGAATATGCCTAATAGATTGCAGAGAAGGGGACAATCGTATCCACGATCCTCGGGGCAGCAGGTTGGACCGAGATGAGAGTCCTCCATATCTCTTTCGAACAGATTGATCAGAGCAATTTGATTTATTTTATTTTATTTTATTGCAGAAAATAGGAAATCGGTTATTTCTCCGAGGGATCAGTCGTCTGACGGCGAGCGGCAATTCTTTTCGTTACTTGTCTTTGCCCATTTACTTTATTGAATTTGATGCAAAATAAGTCTTCGATTATTCCGGGAATGGTTCATACTCTGCGTCTTGCATTTCCTAATATGGTAATCCTGCGCGTTCTCCCTAATGCCAATTATGCCATGTGTTCCCTGTGTTTCATTCGTTTTGGTTTGGTATCTCCGGATGTGCGTAATACTGCAGCTTTCCTGTGTTTCGTTTTTTTTTTCCAGTTCCAAGCCCGTTCCCTTGGCTGTGGTTTTCCAGGATGGTAGGTATCGACAGTGGGAATCTCGTAGCGAACGCTGTGACACTGATTCGTTTCTCAAATCGCATTACATATATAATGTCTGGAGTTTATTCAGTTTGAGGTTCCAGGTTCAAATTGACTTTGATGTGAACCTGGATGTTGACGACCGCCTTTTCCCGAATAGAAAGCAGTATTATTTGAGTTGGAGTTGAGGAAAGTTTCAGTATAGATGCGGCCATAAATACCGTAATATGTTCTACAGGGGGGAAGATGGTAGGATGCAGACTTTAACAACGTGGAATTTTGGCCTCACACGGCACTTCCGACCTGGATGTGTGGAACAGCAGCCTGCGCTTGAATTTGGACACGCCTGATGGTCAGATTCCACTTTCGAAAGTGCCGTGCTAACGTAGACCAGTAGAAAATCATCGTCCTTCCAGACGTTCTATATGCCGTCTGCTGGCACCGCTCGAGCTGCGCATGCTAGCCTTGATGCGGTTTTGAGATAATCACGTTTTTTGGGGATGACTTCTTGGTCACATCGGATCATTACATCTGATTGTCAGATCGACGGGCAAAATCGGATGACTTCGTGGTCACATCGGATCGACGGTTTTGAGATCATCACGTTTTCTTTTTTCTCTTCTGACCGTCGGATCCGAATATCAGACTTGATGTTCAGATCAAGAAGACATCGGATCTGATGATCAGACAACTCTGGTCACGTCGGATCATGACATGTGATTGTCAGATCGACGGTCAAAATCGGATGATGAGATTTGATCGTCGGATCAGATCTGATGATCAGGTATGATGAAGTCATTAGATGATATAGCAACTGATTAGATGACTCCAGCACATCCGATCGAAGGATCTGAATATTTCAGATCTGATTGTGTGAGATCTTATCATCGGATGTGATGAACTTATTTGATGAGCAGATCACTTAGATGGCATCTGATGATTGGATCTGAGCAACAGGTCTGCTTGTCATAACTGATTATCAGATCTGCTTGTCAGATCTTGTCATATCTGATGATCAGATCTCCTGGTCAGATCTTGTCAAATCTGCTTGTCAGATCTGGTTGTCAGATCTTGTCAAATCTGCTTGTCAGATCTGATTATCAGACATTGTCAAATCTGATTTAAGACGATTAGATCTTATCAACTGATGTTATGTTGAAGTCATCTGATGAGCAGCTTTCTTGATGGCATCTGATCATCGTGATCAACGGTGCAGATTGTGCACCCTCTTGTTGTGAGTTCTGGAGGCTGGGTGTCGAAATTCGGGTCTGTTGATGGCAGTGGGTGATGCCCACCTCTGGGTATCAGCTGGGGCAGTGGGTGGTGCCCACCTCTGGGTATCGACCGCTGCCATGGATAACGTGGCCGGGTTCTGACTCACAGAGTTGAGACTGAGGGCTCAGCCTCCTGGTGAGACGGTGAAACTCGGGGCCAAACGGTCTGTCACTTCCCCTTGACTCTTATCCTTCTCTCCCTTGCAGTAGAAAACACCACCAATTACTGTTACGGTAGTCTACAAAAGATCACCATCTTTCACCATTCTCGCACACCTACCCAAAAAACTTTTTCCCAACTATACAAACCTGTTCCCAACCAGATCCAAAAATAAAAAACGAAAAAAGAAGCTGCTCCCTACAGCGCAAACCGCAGGAGGAAGCATTTGGGATCCAGACAAAGCAGAACCACCCAGTGCACCCACGTAGAAGGCACATTGTTGCATACTCGTGAAACACAGTCATAAGAATGGCGCAGATCCCCAGAACCGACCAGATAATACAGAGTAAGTACAATTACAGCGGAAGACTTGATACACATGGACCCACTCAAACCTGAGTCAGACTGCAACGAATCCCTCACAAACATACATCGGTGGTGTGAAAGCCCTGGCCTTGGACATGGAAGAAAAGGCCAGGGTCAACTCTCATACACCGATGAATGGAGGGGAGGAGAGACGAAGGGAGGAGGAGAGGGAAGATGACTTCTAACTCACACACTATTTTTAGACTTCATCTTCCCCCTCCTCTCTTCGTCTCTCCTCCCCTCCATTCATCTGTGTATAAGAGTTGACCCTGGCCTTTTCTTCCATGTCCAAGGCCAGGGTTTTCACACCACGGATGTATGTTTGTGAGGGATTCGTTGCAGTCTGAGTCAGGTTTGAGTCAGTCCATGTGTATCAAGTCTTCCGCTGTAACTGTACTTACTCTGTACTATCTGGTCGGTTCTGGGAATCTTCGCCATACTTATAACTGTGTTTCACGAGTATGCAACAGTTTGGTATCGGAGCAGACCAACATTGGGCGACCGGTCATCAATCGATCTATTGATGGATCAAGGCTCATCAAGCTGCTCAACTAGTGCTTGATCAACCAATTGATTGATTGATTGATTGTTCTCGCGTGTACTCTGTTGTCATTGTTCGCAAGTTGCGAAAAAAAAAAAATAGTCTTCTTTCCGTTGCTGATCCAGTCAGTTTTGACCTATTTTTAGGTTTCCACCATCTCCGATTTTGCGTAAATTTAGTGTAATCAGGGTAATTTGTGAAAACGTGATTAACCCTTATTAGCGGCGATTAGGGTTAGGACTAACCTAAATCCAGACCGAACAACTATTTTTCCCACGGATAGTAGGCCAGCCAGGCACCAAGCCTAATCAGGGCAGATCGGGCCTGAGCACGGCCACATTCAAACGGCAACTTCACGGATCTTTCACTTTTTGCCTATTGCATCTTTTTGCGATCAAAGCCGGAAGCTTTGCAGCAACTTGTGTATCTTCCAATGACCATTAATCTGATACTGACCTCATGACCTCGAAATGATGCTGAAATCTCCCATTTCAGTTTCATGAATTATTTAACTAAATATTGTGGTTAAACGTTTAATTCTCATCTATGTGACCGTTTGAACTCACTGAACGCGCTTTGGCGTTCGAACGCACTGAACGCGCGTTGGCTCAAACGGTCGGGGGCTGCGTTCAAACACGCTACGCGCCACATGGCGCAAATTTTTTGAACGCAACCCCCCCATCCACATGCGCGCATGACAGACTACAGGTGGGGGATTTGTTTCTTAAAAAAAAAAAAAAAAAAAAAAAGGGTGTGGCAGTGTATTCGATTTTGCTCAGAAAATGGATGGAAGTCCCATGAGGTTGGCAGTGCGGTTCTAGACTCTGCTCTCTCTCTCTCTCCCTCTCTCTCTCTCTCTCTCTCTCTCTCTCACACACACACACACACACACACACACACACACACACACACACAGACACACACAAACACACACACACACACACACATACACACATGCACACACGCACACACACACGGCAGTGTATTTTTCCATGTGTAGCGGAAGATTCATTCGATTTTGCTCATCCAGCCGATGGAAGTAGCGTGAGGCCAGCCGCGTGGTTGGAGAATTACCTGGTCTCCTCTCTCTCTCTCTCTCTCTCTCTCTCTCACACACACACACACACACACACACACACACACACACACACACACACGGCAGTGTATTTTTCCATGTCTAGCGGAAGATTCATTCGATTTTGCTCATCCAACCCACAGAAGTAGCATGAGGCCAGCTGCGCGGTTGGAGACTTACCTGGTCTCCTCTCTCTCTCTCTCTCTCTCTCTCTCTCTCTCTCTCTCTCTCTCTCACACACACACACACACACACACACACACACACACACGCGCGCGCGGCCCCCAGGCTCCCAGCCCACACCCCTGTGCCCAGCCCACACCCCTGTGCCCTGCGCAAACGAGTTCAATGAACGCGCGTCTATGTAACACCAGCGGCCGCGGTCGCGGGCTGCGGCCGTGGCCGTGGCCGCGAGCCCGCGGTCATGACCGCGGAATGCCGTGGCCCACAGCGGCTGAGGGGAGAGGGGGTTGGGGGTTGGGGTTGCGGATTGGGGTTCCTGAACCCTGACCCTACCCTCTTGAAAAAAAAAACTTAAAAAAAATAATTTTCGGGGGGGTCGATTTTGGCGTGTGGAAAAAAAAAAACAAGAAATAGAAAAATAAATAA